TGAATGTAAGGGAAATGTCATTTTGGAATTTCTGTGGTTTAATGTGATATTGTTGTTCATGTATGTTCATGATGAAATTTTCTTTTATTGTTGTAATTAATTTATAGCATTAACAAGATGACCCGTTGGATTCTTTTTGGAGCTATGACTGATTTAAGGTGGGGAAGAAACGTAAGCTATTAATAAGATTAGTATTGACCAAGTTCAGAGGCTGTCATATGTACAACTTAGTGCAGTCTGCTTTTGGAGGTGACCCTCGATGCGCCTCTGAAGGCGAAACAGGATGTTGTAGAGCGTCACCCCCACTGACCAAACCGTAGCCGGTCCCGCATGATAGCGGTGCCGCCGAAACCACTCAGGAGGGGCATACTGAAGGGTGCCTGAGAGACCCAACAAGACCACAAACATCATCTGAAGAGGCTCCAGTCCAAACAGATTCCCTTCGGTCGATCATCAAAAGTCCACAACTTACTTTGTTGTGTATTTTCAACAGTTTCAATATGAAAAATAACTTTTATATTGATTCAATGGATTTATTGCATTTTGGGAAAAAAATAATCAGTTTTTATAATAAATCTTTGAAAATTAAAATCTGGATTTGAATTTTTTATGTTATTATAACCTAAAGATGCTATGTGAAAGTTTGAAACAGAAAATTGTGGTTTTCGTCTTGCCACTTTCTTGGTAAAGAAAACACATTTTTACTCAAATTAATCAAATATTGAATTGAATATTAATCAAACACATTTATAGCATTTTGGAACCAAACTCTTCATATGCTTTACTTCCCAGCTTAGAAACATTTCTCAGACTCCAAGGCCTACTGACTTTTTCCTACAGAAAGAAACATTGTTCTCTAGTTCCCCCTCGTGGCATTTGACTACTAACAGCAGGTTGCACTTCTAACATCAGAAAAAGAAACTGATGTTAGAATGAGAGAGAGCACACTTTAGCGCTTTATCAGAGAATCAGCTTGAGGAGTGGATCAAGCCAAATTAACAAACAAAATTCTATTACTGAATTCTAGATTACCATGAAAGGAAAGGTAAATATATATTCAGTGACGCAGGTAGTGACGATTCTCTCCGGCCAATCAGTGATCAGCATAGTTTACACGTCACGTTTTGGTAACGGTACGGTTCGCTTGAAACCTCAACCGAGGTGGTACTGAAAAAAGTACCAGGTACCAGGTACTGTACCCAGTGGAAAAACCCCCAAAGTGAACCGTACCGAACCGTACCGTGCCGTACCATGCAGTGGAAAAGTGCCATAAGAATTATGTTCTAAGGAAACTGAACTCCTTTTTTGAACAAAAGAGTATTTTTAGTTTCTCATTTCAGTGTTGGTTTAATTCACTTTTTCTAAAGAGTAAGAAATGCTTAAGAATTATAGTTAGGACTGTGCTTTTTACAGTATAGTGTCCCCATCACTCTACTGGGGCATTAGGACCCACACAGACCACAGGGTGAGCACCCCCTTCTGGCCTCACTAACACCTCTTCCAGCAGCAACCCAGTTTTGCCAGGAAGTCTCCTATCCAGGTACTGACCAGGCTCAACTCTGCTTAGCTTCAGTGGGCAACCAGTCTTGGGCTGCAGGGTGATATGGCTGTGGCTTATGTGTTTTTATGTCTGAGATAAGTCTGTTATGTGTTGTTTCAGATTCAGTTATTATAATTGCCCCCTGTGGGATTAATAAAGTGGTAAACTAAACTAACTAAACTAAACTAAAGTTTAGCTTAGGTCCTTATAACACAACAGGAAACAGACCAATCATAGCCCTCAGTGTTTTATCCAGGGGTGTGCACAAATACATGAATATTTGATCTGTAATTATTATTCGAAAAATAAAACCACTATTCGAATAAATCTACGTTTTACTTTGCTGGCCGTAAATGCAGGGACTCCATTATAAATCCTAAATTATAGCTAAATGCACTGGGTGGCACTGTGGAGTGTGTTAACAAGTGTATTGTATTTGATCACAGAAGCCTTGCGAAGTTTGGAATAACTGATCAAAATGATCTTACAAAATGGAATTACTTTTGATCAAATTAATCGGTGAAACTGAGTTATCATAATATCACCACCACAATGAGAAATCACATGAAATCCAAACATCAGTCGACTGAGGACAGCTGTCCGTCACTGCATTCACGTACAGTACGTTTCAGTACGTTCTGTACTGTTATTGGCACGGTCTGCTTTATTTTTCCATTTGCTCTGCTTGAGCTTGAATGCTTTTGTTCTTTATATATGTGTATTTTTTTTTACACGTTTTCAACTAACAGAAAACCTTGAGATATAGCGTAATGTTGTTGTAGAAAATTGTTGTGTATAATGCCTAATCATAAGCGTGTTCAGAAATGGTGACGAAAAAAAAATTGATTATTAAAAAATATTGTCTTTCTCGTTAAACCTAATTTAAATAAACGAATATTCCAAAACAATATTTTTGAAAAATGCCAATCCCTAGTTTTACGAGGGATCCAGTCTGTCGGCTCCACTCTTCATTTGATCACAACCATTCATCCTCTTTTATTACAGTACTGTTTTCCTATACTTTCTTTTTGTCATAATGATATCAATTGTTCCTGGGTTGACCATTTGGAGCCAGCCATTTTGAATTTTGTTGTAAAATTATCTTTATATTTTTAGTACACATGTATGCAGAAGAAGATATTTATGTCACTCACACTGTACTCATAACTTAACATAGTGTAAAAACCAAAGTATACGTTGAGCTCAAGGGTCCCAGGTGAAGGCGCATGCGTGGGCCAGATGACACCTGGTATTATGATGTGTTTTGGTGGACTAAATGGAAACACATTCCCGTTTACACCTGTTTTCAATCCATCGCCTGATTTGATCACAACACCAGCAGTAGAGTTGTGGTTTCCCTCAGTGTGCTGGAGCAATTGATGCTTCCCAGAAACCCATCACTCCTCCTTTTGAAGATGCAAAACACTATTCCAACAGAAAAGTAAGATACTCCATTATATTGTAGAGTAGACAGTCATTGATCACAAATCGCAGTGAAATGTTGTAGCTTTAGTTTGGCTATGTTTATATCCTAGCAAACTAACAAGCTGTTGACTTGCTAGTAGGTTTACCAGTAACAGTGTGCATGATGCCCGAGAGCTACAGTTCTCCATCCTGTTCCAGATGGAGGAGAACGACAAACGTTTCATATCACTAAAACATGTTCAACCTAACAAAAACTGTTTCCTGTTCTGATTTTATTGTGCAGTGGATATGTACAGTATGTGCAGTGTTTTAGTGTCTGAGTTTCATACCTCATGATGTGTCTGCTTCTCTTTGTAGGACACACAGGAAATTGTCTTCATTATGCTTCTTGGTGACCCGCATACCCCTCTTGAGCTGGCTGATGAAGGGATTTCCAGACAATGGTCATCTGTCCAGAGAAGAGAGGTGTTTCATCTACTGTCTGAGCCGTGCACACATGACTGCTGAATGTGCGTTTGGTCACTGAAGAGGATTTGGAGATGTTGGAAGATGGAACAGAAGTAAGTGATTGGCTTCCTAAATTAAATGGCAATCAGTGGAATTTGAATTGTAGTAGTTTAAAATGTGGTCAACGGACAGTCATTAACACATTCCAAAGAAATGTGAAATGGTGTTTATGTCCAGTGGGATACAAGCTTTGAGATGAGCAATAAGTGAGTCAGCTAATTTTCTGCGAGTATTATAGTTTGTCCTTAAATGTATCTGTCATGAGCACACTGGACTCTTTCTCTCCATCTCTCACCCACTCACACTCCCCAGGGTTCTAATAAGCCACACATGTAGATTGTTAACTCACTGTTCGGCTCTCTTCATTCACTGCAGTCACAAACAAGTTTTTGGCTGGCCTTGAACATTATTGTGTGTCACCTCATGCTCTTGGAAAGGACTCCACTCTGCTCTTTTCCCTGTACTCCATGCCTGCGAAAGACACTAAGATAATTTTATTCTCCCTGTGCAATTCCATTGGTTGTGAAACTCGTGATTTTGAAAGAAATTCCCTGGATATTCCCAGGGCCTGTGAAGGATTAAGTTAGATTGAGCTCTTATGTTTAATACTGAACAGTTCTAGTTATCGCCTTGAAGTTATTGAAGCATTGAAGTAAGACTGCACTAATATTTTTCCTGAGAATACTTTCATGTCCTGAGTTATGTTATTTCTTTTCTGATTGATTAATTGTTCACCTTTCACAAAGCAGGCCTCTGTGGTTCCCCCCGATAGTCACCAGAGGTCACCATCACGCGAATACTAAGGCCCAATCCCAATTCTATTTTATTATTTCTTTTCTGATTGATTAATTGTTCACCTTTCACAAAGCAGACCTCTGTGGTTCCCCCCGATAGTCACCAGAGGTCACCATCACGCGAATACTAAGGCCCAATCCCAATTCTATTTTATACCCCTACCCCTACGGCCTACCCCTGGTGTGCATTAGAGCCTTTAATTACCGTTCTATATTAAAGGGTTAGTCCACCCAAAAATGAAAATTCTGTCATTAATTACTCACCCTCATGTAGTTGGAGAGTATCTACTGAACGTAAACAACGTAATCAGCGTTGTTTACGTTCAGCATGCGTGAGCTGTCTACTGAACGTAAACAACGCTGATTATGTTTATTACGTTTTGGGGTACTCTCCAAAATGGCGGAAGTCGGTAATTCAGGGAGAAGAATTGTTGAATAAATTATGTTATTATTGTTTTC